AAAGAAATATTCTCTACCCATCTATGCATTGAAAAGAGCTTGCACAATGCAGCCCCATTTGTCACGGGTGTGCCAGGGCCCCGCAGGCCCAGCCGCGCGGTGTCAGGCACACTTGCTGGCGCACTCCAGCAGCTCCATGCGGATGGCGATGCGGACGTGCCAGCCCAGTGGGATCAGCCGGATGAAGCGGGAGATGATGGGGGGCCGCAGCAGGTTCTGGACGGTGGACGTTCTGTCCGAGTTTCCGTAGAAGACCTAAGGAGAGAGGTGAAACCCTGTCACTGTCACACCAGGGGAGAGAAAAGGAAGACCAATTCCTGTCTGGAGCTGGCCCCAACTTGACAATGGAAAGCCTCAGGAAGTGATTAAAAAGTACAGAGAATTTGCAGACGCCCCACAAACTCTGACCTTGAGTGATTGCTGGTGCCTACACTCTCCGGACCTGAGTCTGTGGACACCTAGAACTGCACTGTCCAGTATGGTAGCCAGTAGCTACATGTGGCTATTTAAACTTAAATGACTTCAAATCAGATAACAGTTTCCTTCCTCAGTCGCACTACCCGTGCCATGCGTGGTTCAAGTGCTCAATGGCTGATGTGATTAGTGGCGGTCACATTGGGCACTGCAGATACGAACATTTCCATCATCGCAGAGAGTCCGCTTGGATGGCTCTGATTTTAAAAATTGCCTCTTGATTTTGTGCTTTAATTCTTTCATTTTGACAAGAATTTTGAAAAGGATCACATCACACAAGAGGAATGTTCCCATGTTCCAGAAGCGTCCAAAGTGGGGCTCAAGGAAAAGCTTGTGAGCTAGCTCTGCAGTCGTGAGTTGTGAGCTAAAGCTTAATGGGGTGTCTCTACATCGATACAAATAGCAAGTACTTTCTACGCTTGGAAATGTTTTTTAAAGGAAAAAGACAAACTAGAGGGAAGATTCTGGAAGGAGGAGGGAAGTGCCCAGAGAAGAGAGAAAAAGGTTTATTTTGTGGCTTTCAGGATATAACATGGCATGATTCAGTGGGTGAAATATAAAAGGTGCAGCAGATGTTTGGCTGTATTTCCAAAGAAATCGCTCTTTTCAATCTTTGCAGAGTCATAGTGTTCTGCCCAATGACACCAAAACATTTCATTCCCTTCTGGTATTATCTTTGGAAAAAATTGGCCTCATCCATCCACACAACAAGAAGGACCTCATATGCCATGATCTTACCTTTCTTCCTATTAACAACAACCTGCACCCCCTTTTCTACCCCATTTGCCCTTGAACCTATTCAAGGCAGCAGCCAAGTGAAGAGGGCAGATGGAACAGGCTCTTCCACATTGCACACAAGTGCCCAAAAGGCACTTTGCAAAGAACCTCAAGGCCTTTCGAAACACAATGCTTGAAAACAATCCTCATATCATTTTGAAAAGCCAGTAAGAACAAAAATGGAATAAAATGTCCAAGTATCAAGATGGCTTTACCTATTGTGTTCAAACTCCTTAAAATCTCAACCCATGAATGTCTTGCTATACAAATTGGCATCAGAGAGTATAAAGCCTTCTGATTTTCAGCTGCACGTGTCTACTTAACCTGATTACATGTCCTAACTAGCTGGGGGAAGTCATCACAGGTGAAGGACAGTTAATATTTCCAATTAGCTAGTAAATTTTTAGTTCATCATAAATATACATTATATATATCTATGTATATATAGATATAGATGATGATAGATGATAGATAGATAGATAGATGATGATAGATAGATAGATAGATAGATAGATAGATAGATAGATAGATAGATAGATGATAGATATTGAGAGAGAGAGAAAGAGAGTCTATTGTGTCCAGTCTATGATGAACAATAGTAGTTGGGTCTTGGCGCTCAGTGGTTACTGGCATATAAAAGTTTAAGGGCCTCTTTTTCTGCACTTCTGGAGATGTTTTAAACATGTCTGTACTTTAGTGGCTAACCTATTGGGTTGTCTAGAGCTCCCCAGCTGTCACTCTCAATCAATAGTGAGGAGGGGCCATATCTACATCAATGGACCAGGACCTACCTGCATCAGTAATAGATCAAGTCAGACTTATGGCGCAAAGTGTTCAACGATCCAATGAGTTTGGAATGGTGCAAATGGTTGGCTTTGACTATTCAAGCAACTATATGCTGATATGAGAATTCAGACAAAGATTTCTTTTGCACGCAAGAGTGGCACTCATTTGCAAAAAATCTAGGCACCAGGGATACAACAAGAAAGACACATGCCTTGCGGTCAGTGCTCTGACAGAGGACAGCAACAGGAACACGGACACTGGCAGGAGGAGAGCCCCAGAGAGTGTGAGCTAAGGTGGTTTGGGGTAGGCCTGACTTACCCGGTTGTTCCCGGACTGGTCCTTATAGTAAATCCAGTTCAGGCTCTCATCAGTCCTGTACTGCACACTGTATTTGGTCATCCACTCATCAATGTCACAGCGACCCTGGGTGAGAATCCCCGAAATCACCTTGACCTCCTTCAGGTCTATCTGTAACCACTGGTTGCTGTCCTGGAACTTGGAGAGCCAGGCACACCTGCCGGAGACACAGTGAATCAGCAGAAGTCTTGCTCTCCCTGCGAGTGCTCTGAAGAGCCTGGACATGCTGACATTTGAGGGGATGTCAGCACCTGAAGAGCCCCCACTAAGCTTGGGCTGAGCTGCAGTCTCCAAGAGGTGCCCAGCCTCTGTGACATTCACATCATTTTCTCTCTCCTGTACCTCCACCTCCTGAGGAAAAATTGTCAGGTTCAACTAATTTGTCAAAGAAATGCCTTCGAGTGCAGCTGAAATGACCTTTGGGGCGTGGTTGAGCATGTCTTTTTTCAATGCATCGCTATTGCACCCACCAGGCCCCTTCCCTTTTCATCAGTCTCTCCTGATGTTTCTTTCGCCGAGAATCTTTTCTTTCTTTAATTTCACTCTCTTCATACATATCTGCATCTCTTTCATGTGCTGTCATGTGTGGCTTTCAGGGAGTGTCTACCGTGTGTAGAACACGGAGCCGAGTGGCTCTGAGAGGGCTTTTAACAATTATAAGCTAACCAACCTTGATGGAACTGATTTGGTTTTTTAGCTATATTCCTCATACATTGTGGAGACCTTTAGCTCCCCCACTTTTGTGTGTGTGTATTAGTTTCTTAGAACTCAGTTCTTGGCTGCTTTCTCCTCTAATTCCAGACTTGCTCCTTGGTTGGCTCTGACTTTCTACTTCCATCCCAAACCTTTTCTAAATTCCAAATCCCAAGAATTAATTGCTAGCTAGCCAACTTCGCCTGGATGCCTTAGATGAAACAAGTCCAAAAGTGAGTTCCGAAATATCCCCACCCCAACCCTCTTTCAGTGCTACCCATCTCTATGAATGTGACCCCTGTCTTCCCAGGTCTTCATGCCAGCAATCTGACAGCCATCCTTGGCCCCTTCCTCTCTGTCACCTCAAACAGCCAATCCATCTATTGGTTCCATCTCCAAGTGTTTCTCAAAGTCATTTACTTCTCTCCATTTCACTGCCACCACTCTAGTCCTCAGCTGTCACCTGGACTGCCACCATAGCTTAAGTAGTCTCTCTGGATTACCTTTGTCCCCCAACTATACAGCCCTCCCCACAGGAGCCAGATTTTTCTCTTAACACAAATCTGATTGTGATACTCCCCAACTTCAAATATTTCTCTGACAGAGTCTGCTAATTGTCTCCCAGTTGCCTCTTCCCATCCCCCTTTAGTAACAGAACTGCTGAGTTTTATCTGAGCAAATGACCACCGAGCTAAGATCTAATTTCCTAGTCTTCCTTGCAGCTAGACGGGGCCATCAGACTAAATTCTGCTCAATGGGATATGGGTAGAAGTGGCCAGTTGGATTATGTCTGAATCCTTAAAGGAAAAGTATGTGTGCTCTGCTCTCCTTTTCTCCCTACTGACTAGAATGTGGGTTCCAAGACGGAAGCTCCATGTTAAGGATGAAAGAAGAAGGTAGGGAGAGGCTGGACCCCTGAGAGCATCCAGCTGCCATAAGACCCCAGGCTGCCTAATGAAACTTTTAGATGAGCAGGAAACACACCTCTACATTAAATCTCTGTGCTTTGGAGTTCTTTTTACAGCAGCACAAGCCTATATTCTAACTAATGCACTTTCAGGGTCCTTCTATTGTCCCTAAAGTGAGGACCACAATCCTTAGCATGACTTCAAAGGCCCTGCATGACCTGACTTCTGACTCCCTCTCCAGCTTGACCTCACCTGGGCTCTAACCTTGCTGGCCTTCTTGATGGTCCCCGTCCATGCCCTTAAGGGGCCTTCCCTACTCGGGCCTTTGCGCCTGCTGTATCCTGTGCCCACCCCCTCACCTGGCCAACTGTAAGTCTCAGGTTAAAGATCCTTTCCTTAGAAAGCCCTTCCCTGGTGCTGCGAATGGACCAGGCCTTTCTCCTCCGTCTCCACAGCACCCATCACACTTACTGAGTGATCAGTTGCATGATTATGTGCTCAGAAGCCTCTCCCTCTCTCCACTGTGTGCTTATTAAAGGTCACGACCTCATCCACCTTGTTCAGGGCTGTACCCACGACCTTGGCAAACGGAAGGCATCCAGTCAACGTTTGTCGAATAACTAAATGCGTTCCGTGCCACTCATTCGTCCCCGAGACCTGCTTTCTCGGTTCGCATAAGGAAGCAGCCGAGCGGCCAGCCCTGCTCACCCAAAGCCGTGGCCGTTGAGCCGGGCCTTGTTGGCAGTCCACGACGAATACCAGCCCACGTACTGCTCCGGGTTGGAGCAGGTGATCTGGTCTGGTGTCACCTCTCCGGACTCGAAACCCAGGGGCTTATGATAGGGGCATTCTGGGAAAGGAAAAACAATGCTCATGAAAACACTTGGGTTGCATCACAATACTCAACAACCATGGCATGATCGAAATGACAAATCAAACCATCCCATTAGAAGATGAAGTAAAGGAATTGCGTAGACGCTCAGGACATTCGTAAGAGCCCAGCGGTGGGTGGGGGTAGTTTTGCGAAACACTTCACCTCCTCCACAAGCATACAGACCTAAAACCCAAGAGGTCTGCGGCGAAATGTCACCCTTAAATGCCATACTCTTTATTTTTCTCATTAACACAGGGTTAACCATCCTGCAGGATGACATCAGGGTCCCTAATTGTCTTTGGGCAGCATCTGGTGGCAATTATAGGAAAAAAGCAATGGAAAGAGGCAAGAAGGGCAATTATATATTGAGACTGACTTCCCACTTGTAAATTGCAGTTTTCTCACAAGTCTAATGAAAGAAAAAGGTGAAATGTGCCGGAGTGACTGTTGAATAGAGAACAGTTGAAAGGAACTGCTTTGCCCAAACAAGAATAACCAAAGCTCATTCTTAGATGTTAATTGTCTGTTGCTTCTCATATTTCCTCTCACATTTAGTGTTGGTTTACCTGGTCAGAGACTGCCAATTGCCAACCCAGTATCCATTCTCCCCTTCTTTTTGACTAAAGAATCCTAATTTTGTTGGGGGCAGCAATGTAGCAAGCTAAGAAAAAAAACAATCTTCCCAGACTTTCTTGTAGTTAGAAGTCATGTGATACAATTTCTGGCTAGTGAGATATAAGAGGATGTTTAATGGGGATTTCTGATCAGGTTTTGCTTTCCCTTTCTTTCTAACTGTTGGCCAGAAGCAAGACCTAATGGCTGGTGCAACAGTAGCTATCTTGCGCCATGGGGGTAAGGCCAAGAGAACTGCAGAGACCTCAGCCCTGGTACCCTTAAGCAAATGCCTACCCGTAGTCTTTTTACCATGTGAGTCAAAACAAAGCTAATTCAATAAGCCACAATTTAGGGGACCTCTTATTTATAGCCAAACCCAGTTTCTACCTGAATTTCTATAGAAAACAAATGATAAGCTTATGTAAATACATTCTCCTAGTTTCCCGATTGTGAATGATAAACTTCAAGTAGGTAAAGCAAATTATTTTTTTCTTTGTGTAAATTTGGGTTCATATTGAAGAGCTGAACATATTTATTGGGACATCATCACCTTCCACGGTAAAATGAGAGCTGAGTTCTTCTAGAGATTAAGTTTTAGAAGTCAGTAAAACTGAATGAAGCATGCAAAAGCTTGATCCCCATCATGAGGCTCCAGGATGCCTGCAGGGACAGCCATGTCCTGTACCCAGAAGCCAAAGACAAAAGGACAGCTTCACACCTCTGACCAGGGGGGCTTAGCTGCCTTTCTACCCAAAGCACCAAAAAAATAGGCCACCTCCCATTTGCAGTTTATCAAGTACCCATTAAAATGTCAATTCCTGGGAGAGGGAACAGGAACACTTTATGGGCTACGTGCTCCTGCCTTGCGTGGCCAAATCGTCAAGGGGGCTTATTAAAAATGCAGTTTCCAGGATTCCACTCCCAGAGTGGTCAATTTTTAACAAGCACACTTTCAAAGTATGTTGTGGAAACCTTAGCCTGCCAGGGAAGGCATTTTGTTGGCTGGTGGATTCAGGGGCCTAGTGCCCATGGCCTTGGGGGCTCTTCTATCACCTCTACCTCGCTCTGACCTGGAAGACAAACTTGTGCCACCAGATAGAGGGACAAAGTCCCAGTGTCAGAAAACTGGGTTTCAGTTGGGCCTCGGTGGTCACTTATATTCTAACTGTGAATATCTCTAAGTCTCCTCTATCCATAATCTCCCTTTCTTGCTCCAGGGCCACCAGCTTGGAGGGAGGGGGCAGAGGGGAAGGAAAAACCATCGCCACCTCTCCCAACAACTTTATTCTTGGCATTTCAGTCTCTCTGTTCCCCTTCATATCTCTTGCCATTTCTTCCCAATTACCTCATCTAACAATTAAGTGTGGGCTATAGACATGCAGGAACCTGGCCAGGGGCAATGGCCTTGGAGGCCTGTGAGGGCTTGTCCAGACATGGGTCTTGCCCACACTCTCCAGGGGAAGCAGTGATCTCACCATCCCCATGGTTGCAGCAGGCATCTGGGAGCCCATGCCTGACTCCCAGGCCCTCTGAGTATTTTCTAGGTGAACAGTTCCATCTGGGTAACCCAAAGATACTTCATACCCATAGAGCCAAAACTGAACCCTTCAGCATCCAAGCCCCAAGCCTGCCCCTGTGCAGTGCTCCTGCCTCAGGCATTGGCGCCTCTAGCTACCCAGCTGCTAACCCAGAAACCTTGTGGCTTGGCCCATAGCACAGAGCAGAGACTCCCTGATGAGTCTCGGCCTGGGCATTACCTGGGGAGTTGCAGAAGAGCTGATGTTCGGGTCAAACCCCCAGAGATTTTCATGTCATTGGTCTGGGGCAGGACCTGGGCATGGAGTAGAGCTGCAGGTCACCGTAATGGGCAGCCACGGTCAAGACTGCCGGCTTAGAGCAATGCAACTTGGGGTTGAATCCCGCTCTCTGTCTGAGTTTAGGCAAGCTGCCTAACGTCTCTGTGCTTCAGTTTCCTCATCTGTGACAGGAACACAACAGTCGAACCTGCCTCCATACAGTTGCTGCGGGATTACGTGAAATAACGTTTGTAGAGTGTAAAGCTTGTAGTGCCTGGCCAAAGAGCAGCAGCTCATATTGGTAGAACAGGGCGAAGTTGTGAGAATAGAGTGATGTCTTCTTGAGTCTGGCATGCTTGTTCTGTGTGTGTGTGTGTGTGACTTGAGAGAGAAGCCTGTTTGCAACATAGCATCTCCCAGGCTTTTGGATTTGGAAGGTCTAGGCCTCAAAAGGAATCAGCTGATTGTCCCAGAGGGCGAGCTGGCCAGGGCTCTGGGCTTTGATTCTTACCAAGTGGGGCTGGGGGTGGGGCTCATGGTAAGGGCCTGAGCTCAGCCAGGAAATGGTTCCTCTGATGAGACTGGACCAAGGATGGGTCCCGGGAGCCCTGAGCTCTGGACACTCTCAGGAAACTTGGGAAGGTCCCCAGGACTGAGTTTGGTTCAGAGGGAGAAGGCGTTGACCTTCAAGTGGGGCTGTGGGCCGGGCCGAGAGCCTATAACCCAGCCTGGGCCTAGGCCCTGCCCCAGGCAGCCCTTGCAGGCCCCTGGGAGGTTCATGTAGCGCAAAGGGGAGAGGAACGACCCTCCACAATCCTGTCTTTACACTCTTCACAGGCCATGACAAAGTGGGACTCAAACTGGGGTTGTCTAAACTTGGAAAAATAGAAAATGTAACATTCCTTGTGCCCTGCGTGCTGTGAAGTGAACTGTGCTCCAGTTCCTTTACTATTTCTCCTGACTCCGTTCCCCTGTTCTTCCTCCTTCCACTGTCGCCGCTGAGACGCCTTCAGGTCCTCATGCAGGCCTGGAGGCCTTCCCTTGAGGCTGTTCCCTCTGCCTGTGACACTCCTGTCCCCTCTTTTCCCCCTTCACCTCTATTCATCCTTCAGATCTCTGCCCACCCTGAGCCGGGTAAAGGATTCCAGGTGCTGTCTTCCCAGGCACCCTGCACCTGTCACTTGTCCCTCCTCCTGTGATTATTTCGTCGTCAGCAGCCTGGTCTGTCTTGCCCACCATGCTGTCCTCTGAGCCCTGCAGAATGCCTGCACATGTAGGCACTGCGGAGGTATTGCTCGCGTGAATGAAGGATGGGTGGGTGAACAAACGTCATCGCCCCCTCTTGGGTGGCTGCTGGGGTTAAGCAGAGAAAATAGCAGAAGGAGGAAGCAGTGAGCTCAGGGAGAAAGTAGAAGTTGACTGGCCCAGAGAAGTCCCACTGGCTTATGTCCATACTCACTTTACTCTTAAGGAGAAACGTGCGTCTTCTGTTGCACAAGTGGCTCTTGTGAGCAGTGTTTTGATATTTAGCTGGATAAGGGCATATTCACAGTGTGCTGCTAATCCAGACTATGGCTACTTAACATACTAGCCTTTCTTACTCAGTAGGTAAGTTCTCAATTTGTAGGCATGCAGGCCAGACATGCTTATAAAAGATGTTAACCTCAGGGGCCACAAAGAGAATTCAGGGACGTTCTTGTCAAGAGAGACATCAATATTATTATGCACATGTATTAGACTTGAATATCTATGACAATGTAGTAGAATATAGAATAATATTTACAGAAGAATAGAATATAAACTTGAATATAATGTAGAAATATAGAATCTGGAATGAAAGTAAAGCATTGAGTCAGTGGATTTCTTATACTTGGATACCTTCCCTACCCTGTTCCCACCTCTCAGAGCGCCGAGAGGTAATCTTGGCTCAACGGTGGAAAAGACAGACCTTTTCATATTTGTGATGGTGTTAAGGTGAGGACTAGGAGGCCGTAATGCACCTAGCCTCCTCCCGTGTGGGCAGTAAGAGCCAGCGTGCACCTGGGAGCTCCTTTTTGGCAGCTATGAATGACCGTGTCCTTCTGTGCTTTCTAGGCTCTTCCTCCCACCTAAATCAGAGTCCGCCGGAAGCCTTGAGTCACAGGGGCCAGGAACGCCGACTACCCTTCTTGAAGTTCCAGTAAGGATCTGAGGCACTGCTGGGCAAGTGACTTCTGGAAGGCTGGGGCTAGTCCTGCTGCCCTGAATCCCGCCTTTCGCGGAAAAGCCAGCTAACACCAATGAATCAACCATTTAACACCAAGGCTGTGTTTTTTCCTTCTCGGCAATATCCACATTGTTATAAAAACAAAATCAATCAAACAAACAAAAACGGGTTGGGGGAAAACAGGTAAGCTAAAGGATTTCTGATTTCAGAACTTCCAGTTCACGGCAACTGTGTAGGGAGATAGCTTGGGGGACCCGGGTCGTCTTCACGTTCCTCAAACACAAGGCCCTGCTCGGCTTCACAGATGAGTGGGCCAATGAATCCAATCCGCATAAATAATCTCTTTTCAATTTCTCCTTAGAAAGAACCTCCTCAGAATGTAATCGAGTAGGCCTCCTGCCTCTGGTGAAGAGAACATTTGTTTTCACTAAATGGTAAACCCCTCCAGGGTGGAGACAATGCCTTCATTTTTGTCTCCCCATCGGTGTCTGGCACATAATAGGCACGTGATAAAAGGGGGTGGAATTCTAAGTGGATTATTAAGGAGGGTGCTTCAGTACTGACGGCAGATCTTACCAACACATAGCGCGGCACGAACCCCCGGGCAGCGGGAGAGCGCGCGGAGCTCGTCAGTACACACTGCTCTCCTGGCTCGGGGACCCCACTGCTCCCTTCCGTAAGACAGGGTTCAGAAACGACTTTCTACTCCTTTAGTAAATAGGAAAACGGAGGCAGCAAAAGCCATTGTAGACTACCCCCCTTCTCTCCCCCACAATTTGCTATTTTAATGCAAATTTAATGAAATAATGAAGAGAAGCTCACAGGCATACTCACAAACCTGTCTCTCCCGGAGCTATTATTAGGCGATTATGTAAAGTGAATGACGTTACCTAGCTCTCCTAACTCTGGAGAGGGGTGGCAAGGACAGTTTCCTGCCAAAGAGGCTCTGAGCCTGGAAAGGACTGAGCAGAGCAAAAATTTGGGCCATTCCAGCCTCTGAAAGCCAGAGCGTGGGCTCTTAGGAGGCAGGAAGAAAAGGAGCTCCGATTTGCCAGGTACAGCACAACGTGCTTTAATATCTCATCCGATTTATTCCCCATAACAACTCCCTGGATCAGAGGTACGTGAACTGTGGCCCTCGGGCCAAATATTGCCACGGCCTGCTTTGTAAATAAAGTTTTATTGGCACACAGCTGTGCACATGCTTTTACATGTCAGTGGCTGCTTTTTGAGCAACAATGGCAGAATTGAGAAGTTGACAAGACAGGACCCACAAAGCCACAAATACTTACTGTCTGGTCCTTTACAGACAACATTTGCTGGCCGCTGCCTTAGAGGAAGGCAGGCATTCACGTTAGTCAGGACAGGCCATGTTATGTTGCAGGACAAACCGTCCGGAAATTTCAGAGGCTTAACACGACAAAGGTTTATTTTTCACTCAGGTGACTTGGCCACTGTGGGTCGGGAGGGGGTTTTGCTCCATGGCATTTCCCTGGCAACCAGGCTGAGGGAAGAGCCACTTTCTCAAGCAGGAAAACGGAGAGCTGGAGAGCTGAGCACCAGCAGCCCTGTGCTCAGATGAAGCCCCTTGACTGCGAGGGGTCTGGGATGGAGGGACGCACGTGGCTGTTTGGTGAGCAGTGGCTACCCAGGTACAGTAGTATCGATACTGTTATAATTAACCAGTTATTAATAATAAGAAAGGAGCAAAAAGAAGGCCAGATATTTTAGGCATGTCATTTGGGCAGCTTCCCCAGGAAGCTACAATTTAACACTCCCCAGGGGTCCAACAAAGGGAAGATAGGCTTGTGCCCAGTAAAGTTGGGGGGGTGGGCTAGGGAAGGTGCTTGCTGTCATTCACACTGGGGACAGAGAGGGTTGGCCGGATTGGGTGTGGCCACTGCAAGGGCGAGAAGAGCAAGGGCAAGAAGATTTGGGGTACATAACCCCCTAAACAAAGGTATTCACTCTCTTGTGCTCTTGTTACTGTTTTTTTTAAAACCTCTTTTATTTTACTATTATTTTTTTAATCCTTACCCGAGGATATTTTTTCCATTGCTTTTCAGAGAGAGTGGAAGGGGGGGAGAGAAAGAGAGGAGCACATCGATTGGTTGCCTCTGCAGGCACCCCAACCACGGCCGAGGATCGAACCTGCAACTGAGGTACGTGCCCTTGGCTGGAATCAAACCTGGGACCCTTCAGTCCAAGGGCCAACACTCTAACCACTGAGCCAAACCAGCCAGGGCAACATGAGATCAGTTTAGCGGAGCAGTGGCCATGTGAAATTTGAAGCTCAGAGGCTAACCGGAGAAAACCCAGAGCGTGGCATTGGGGGATTAATTCAGTTGGGTTGAAAGAAAGGAGGAACAATGTGTTCCCAAGGACACCCCAAGGAGAGGGGATACTCACCCGGTATGCAGTCTAAGGAGGTGGTGCCCGCAGACCACAGGGCATTGGCACCTCCTTGGCAATCGCATTTGCACACTTTGTGATACCAGGGGTCCTCACCTTCATCCTGTGGGAGGCAAGAGAGGCAGGAGTGTCAGAAAGGCCACAGTCAAAGGTAACTGTGGTCAACACTACTGGAAAAGCTTGTGCTCAGAAAGCTTGCTCATTGCTATTGGCTACTGCTGCTTTCACGCAACAGCACAACTGAATCATTACCCAGCCTTAAGGCACAGTTGCTGCTCATCTGTGAGTCTAGATAAACAAGTGTCTGCCACTGTGGGCGAGCAGCTAATAATCTCACAGACACACCCATGTAAGGGGCAGTGTTCACCCCATTATACTTTTCTTCAGGGTTTGGAGGAGACCTAGTCCAAGGTCAGGCTCCTTACATCCCCAGGAGGTTCTTTTTAAAATCTAGTTTTAAAAGATTCAAGGTTACACCATCTGAATTAAGACCTGGTTTACTTGCATTCTGTCAGTGAAACACAGAACTTGCTCAGATAACGTGCTATTGCCACCACCAGAAAAAAATAATCTTTACAAATACATTTTAAAAAAATATGTTTTTATTTATTTTAGGGAGAGAGGCAAGGAGAGGGAGAGATGGAAACATCCATGAGAGAGAAACATCAATCAGCTGCCTCCTGCACGCCCCCTGCTGGGGATCCAACCCAAAGGCCTGGCTTGTGCCCTGACCAAGAATGGGTTGCCGCTCACCACTGAGCAACACCGGCCGGGCGAAAATTACATTTTTTAAAAAGCCATAGCCCTATATATCATTTTCGGCTAGGAAAATCTCCCGAAACAGTATCCATGTAAATCCCAGCCTTCTTACTGTAACATACCTCAGTAGACGACAATCCCAGCGTGGCTGAGCAAGAGGACAAGAGAGGAAAAATCAAGTTAAAAAAAAGAAAGAGAAATTCAACAAAATGATTCTTTACATGGAAAAGTGAAATGAAGTCACATAAAAGTTAACAAAGCCCCTTCTGGAAGAAGTCAGACTAAGTAGCGGTCTGTCAGCATCCACAGATGCTGAGAAACCAGGCACAGGACAGTGAAACAAAGACAAGAATAATTGGTATTGTTTTTGTTGATTATAGAATTTTGGAAAATACATTAATGAACCTATATATTTTTTTAACCTCCAAGGCGATACTATTAACATCTAAGTGTAAATCTTTCCCATCTTTTTCTGTGCATACTTTAAAAAACATGTTTGAGAACCTACTATCTACCAATGTTCCTGACATTCCTTTTCCACTTGACACTAACAGAGCGAGATTTTCCCCTCGCTTACTGACTCCCTCCTCCCCCTACTGCCTGCCCGGTGTGCTTCAGGAGTGGGGTTCAGTCCCCCCTCTGTGACACTCTTAGGTCGCTTATTTAGGGTTAGGACATTGTTTACAAAATGCTTTTCAGGCTTGTCTATTATGTACAGGAAATCTCCAACCACAATCAGTATAAATACCAGATAAATGAGGTGGGGAAATTGAAAGTGTGCAAATTTTAACATAAAACTAAACTATTTTTATGGAAGGGTGAATAAAAAGGATGAATGCACAGTTTGAATAGGAAAATAATTTGTGTATATTAGCATAAACTGATTGTTTAAAGCTGCGCTGTGTCCAGTGCCCTAACTACTATCCTTGTGGCTATTTGAATGGAACTTATCTACAATTGACGAAATTCAAAATTCAATTCCTCAGTCACACCGGCCACACTTCAAGCGCTTACTGGACTTGTCACTAGCGGCCACTGCACTGGACAGCGCAGATCCACAGCACTTCCATCACCGCAGGAGGCTCCATTAGACAGCCCTGATTTAAAGCACCCAAGCGCCGCTCCTCCCATTCAACACAACACCTTCATTTCTTTTCTGATTGTAAAAGTGACGCATACCCTATATATGAAAATCTCAAACAAAACCTGAGTGCAGACAGCAGGAAATAAAAGTCCTGCCTTAGCCACTTTCCTATCTAAAAATTAGATCTGATGCCCCCCCAAACACTTTCAGATTGCCTTAGAGAGTAAAGGAATGGTCTCACGGTTTTCATCACAAAGATCAAACTCTTCTTCAGATTGTGCCTTTATTTAAATAATACATATTTACCCATTCCACAACCCCCCTTTGCCTGGCCACTCTGCAGGGGAAGCCTCGCTCTCTGCGCGCAAGGCCTTGAGGACCCAGGAGACCGAGGGCAGGGTGGGGCGCGGGGAACGCTCCGCTGGGCTGTGGCCGGGCCGCAGCGCGAGTCAAGGGGACGCATCCTTTAGCCCGGGCAGATTCAGGGCCACCCTTCCCCAGCAGTCAGCAAACTGCCGTCTCCCCAGGGCCCTTGCCCACCGCTTACTCATTCTCAGAGACTGCTCGGCCTACTGACTACGGGCAGAATTGACCCCCTCGGGTAGGAATGGAAGTTAGGGAGCACCAGCTTGGTAGGAGGCCAAGCCTTGTGCTGGCAAAGGAAATTACCAATGACTCCTGACTTCCACACTCGATGGACTCCTTCCAGCACTGAGCTTCTGTCTTCGTGGTGCAACGTTGGGTGCTGCCAGTCCCTCCCATCTTCCCTTAGCTTCCGTCACGCTGCTCACCTGGTTCTCCCGCCATTCTCCTCAGTATAATCCTCCTCAGTCTCTCTTGAGAACCCTGCTCCTGCCTCCATAAATGTCGCTAAACCCAAGATTCCGACGCTCGCATTGAATGCCTTACTGGACATCTCCACGTGAATGCCTCTTGCTATGTAAAACTGGCCCAACCAAGTGTGAGCAAGGTCATGGAGCAGCCTGAACTCTCATATGGTGCTGGTGGGGTAGAAGCTGGTCTAACCTCTGTGAAAAACTGCTTGGCAATTTATAGCGAGGCTGGATGTATATGTGTCCTATGAACCAGCAATTCCACTCCCAAGTATTTACCCACCAGGAATGCATACATATGTTCTCCAACAAACAAAAACATGTACTAGATTATTCATAGCAGCAGTATTTGTAAAAACTCCAAACTGGAAACATTCATATGCCCGTCAAGAGTAGAATGGATACCCGTGGTAGGTTCACACAGTGGAACACTATACTGCAACGAAAAGGGATTACCTACAACTCCACAATATGCTGCAGCTCACAATGGTGAGTGGAAAGTCAGATGCTAAATTGGACATACCATATGAATACATTTAACATATACAAAAACAGGCTAAAGTAATCCATGCCACTAAACATAGGGTCCTGGTCACACTTGGGGTGGGGAGTGGCAGGTAGGAAGCTCAGAGAGGGTGTCTGGTAACATTCTGTTACTCAATTTGAATGCTAGTTACTTGGGTGTGTTTCATAATGAAAATTCATTGAGTTGTATACTTACCTATACTCTTTTGTATGTCTGTTGTACTTAAATAAATGTATGTAGGTTATACATAAAAAAGGTTGTTTTTTAAAAAAAACAAACAAGAAACCAAACTCTATCTCTTTCCTCAGATTGTTCTTTCTCTATTTCTTACCCTACTGAATGGCCCCACCGTCTACCTATTACCCCATCCAGAAGCCTGGGACCCCCCTGGTCGCCTCTTTTCCTAACCCGCCACATCCAGCGTCTGCTAGGGGACTGCTTTCCTCTCCACCTGCCGCTTCCCGCCTTAGACCCCACCCTCTCCCCCGGGATCCTCTCCTTGCTAAAAAGAGACCGTGCCTCATCCATCCTTCATGATGCCAACGGAGTGGAATGCAAACCCGATTTTCTCACTTTCCTGCCAAACCCTATGGTGGGTTCCCGCTGCCAGGGTCTGAGTTCCACCTCCAACATTTCTTAGTTGTATGACTGCACGTCTCCATTTCCTCATTCTTAAAATAGGTGTATTAATGTGCTCCTTAAGGGGACTGTGATCTAGCTCCTGCCCACCTTTCCAGATTTCTCTTTTGCACTCCGTTCTACCTGCAGTTCATCGAAAGCGTCGGGCTGTTTCCTGCCTCCATGCCTTTGCCCATGTGATTTCTTGGGTTCAAATGCCCTCCCCTCCCAATTTTTCTGCCTGCTTATCCCCTTCTCTCTGAAGAGGACTTTTTCTGTCCCACATGCAATATTGACCCCTTGCTCTGGCCTTTGTGTCCCACCTCTTTCTTGTCCATAGGTTTATCTAAGCACCTGTACAATTATAGAAATTGATATAAAAGATAGCTAATAATGACTGGCCCCAAAGCATTCATTTATTAATATTCATTGAGCATCTACTATATTCCAGGCCCAGCTTTAGGTGCTGGGGGTATAAGTAAACAAAACAGGAAAAACACCTGCCCTCATAGAATTTACAGTCTAATGTGGGGAAGTGGGGGAGTAATGAATGAGCAAATGAGCTAGAAAGAGCCCGAGGTGGGTGGGTGATGGGCACATCTCCCGATGGAGAGATGACGGCGGCGTGGCCCAGGGTGGTGGGCAGCGGAGGTAATGAGAAGTGGTTGGATTCCGACTGTCTTTGGAAGGTGGTGCCAATGGGATTTGCTGACAGATGATGTGGATGGATGTAAAAGGTTGAACTGCCTGAGGCCTGAGTGAATAGAGCTACCATTTACTGGGGGAGGAGAAGGTTCCAGGGGGAGCAGAGATTTGGGGGCAGTGGGGTGGAGATGTTTTGTTTGAGAGGCCAATGGGACACCCAAGTGTTGAGGTTGAGTGGGCAGCTGGCTGGAAGCTTCTGAAACTCAGGGGAAAGTCCAGCTAGGGTGTTGGTGCCCTATGCTCCTCACAGTTAATGTGTACATGGGCCCATGGCCTCAGTCCCGCAGCTGCTCCCCCAGAACTGTGCAGTAAATGAGCAATTGGCATCTAGTTGATCTGGGGACTGTTCTTCCAGGAGGCACTCAGCTCCACCCCCCATCTTCAAGAGAAGCTGGGGATGCCCAAAATGCAGAAAGGCCCTGTCAGTTGGGCAAACATCAGTTGTGCCAAGACCCTCTTTTGGGGGGGACCAAAGGTGAGGTGACTGGTCATTGACAGTGTGTCCTTAATAAACATACCAATTTGGCTCAGAGGCCGTGTCTGTTACTGAAGAGGGTCTATGCAGCGGCAACTGAGCAAACCCAGAGTTCAAATGAAGCTCAGGACCTGTCCAGTTGCCTTTGCATTACCTGGGTGGACCCTGGAGGGGCTCCACGTTCTGCAGAAACAAAGCAGAAGGCACAAAGTAAAGGTCGGGGAGGTCTTGCCACTGTCTACTTGTGGAGAGGAAGACCTAAGAGGAGGCCTGGTTTCAGAGCCACTTCCTGTGTTCACTCAGAGGTTGGGCAGATTTCTGGAGTTTTCCATCTTCCCAGCTCCTCACCAGAAAGCATTAGCCTGCAAGTAGCCTGGGGTTCTGAGTTACCAGATCTTTATAGAAATAAGCAAAGAGAGAAGGAACAACAAGCAGTTTACAGGAAGAGCTGTCAGCAAGGAAGCAGCAACGTGGCTGCTGTAGTCCCCCAGATGACTAATCAAAAAGGCTGGCAAACAAAAGCAAAAGCATGTTTGACTACAACATCTTCTAATACCAGAAGCTAAGCAACACTTTGCCCTAGCTGGGTAGCTCAGTTGGTTAGAGTGTCATCCCAATATGCCAAGATTGTAGATTCAATCCCTGCTCAGGGCACATATAAGAAACAACCAATGAATGCATAAATAAGTGGAACAAGTTGATGTTTTTTCCCTCTCTCTCTAAAAAAATCAATAAATTTAAAAAAGAAAATAACATTCTTGGAATAAGCAAAAGAAAACAGTCCAGCCTTTAAAGGTAAAAAGAATAAAAGGTTTAGATTATGTGGCTTTGGATTTTTCTCCCTACTGGAGTGGTTTTTGAGATTCCTCCACAAGTTATGAGTTTCCGCTAGAACTGAGATATCTGCCGCTCACCAATTTTAGAGTCATGCAGTACGGGGTCATTCTGCTCTTTTGCCCAAGGGGCCACTCCATGGGGAAACCCTTGTTACCACAGCAAGGAAATTCAAGGAATAGCTATTTCTCAAATGTACCTTGCAAGCCCAAGAGGAGAGGTATGCATTAGATGCACATAGGAAAGACCCCTTTAGTTTCTTTGATTGGATGTCACTAAATACAGAACTTCCTTCCCATGGAAACAGATGAGGCCAAGGAGAAAAGCATAAAATTGTGAATGATAAAACTGTAACCAGCTTCCAATCTACTTGAGAAACAAGAAAAAGACATGGGAGAGAAACAGCAGGCTGAAATAATGTCCCTCTCCCTGAAGAAGAAAGAAGGAAATTGCTTCTGATGTGAGAGTGTTACTCTTTTAGGCCACAGACATATTCATGGGTAAATCGGTTATCTGTACCTGCCTCAACACAGATGAACCTAAAAAACATATGCTGTGTGACAGACAAAAGACCATATGTTATATGAATCCATTTAAATGAAATGTCCCAAATAGTCAAATCCATAGAGACAAAAAGTAGATCAGTGGTTGGGGGGGACGGGGGGAGGAGGGAATGGGGAGTGAGTGCTTGATGTCTACCAGGTTCTTTTTGGAGTGATGAAAATGTTCTAAAATTAGATCGTGTGCTCCTCAGATCTGTAAATATACTAAAAACCATTGAATTGCACACTTTAAACGGGTGAATTTAATGGTATGTAAATTATATCTCAAGCAAGCTGCTTAAAAAAAAAAAAAATCTGCTGTCCCTGGAAGGTTGACACACCAGCAAAGAGCACATTCACCTGTAAGATGAAGCTTGGTAATTTTTTTTTGTTTTTATATAATAACCGTGACCAGGTAATTGACTGATATAATTTACTAAGGTGGATGTTTTTATTTATTTATTTATTTATTTATTTAATTTATCTTTATTGTTGAGAGTATTATAGGTGTCCCATTTTTTCCCCCCAGTTGACCCCCTCCACTTCGCTCCCACCCCTTCCCCAGGCCTTCACCCCGTCATTGTCTGTGTCCATGGGATATGCATATATGCATATAACTTCTTC